TCTCTTGGCTGGCTGGTTGCTGGGTAGGAGTGGCTGGGTAGGGTCCTCTCTGTCCATTTCCCTGTCGATCTGAGCCTCTGGGCCTAGGCTCTCTTGTCTCTGTTCTAGCACTTGGGCTTCGATAGTATCGCTTTCTGGTGGCATTCTGTTGCTGGGGTTCTCTTATTACTAAGCAGAGTGGTCTGTGTGTTTTTGTTTTGAGTGTGAGACGTGTCTTGACTATCTACTCTTATAGCTTATAGCTCCACAGCGCGCACGCTGCACGTCTTAAAACTTGCTGTAATTAGTTTCTTGTAAGGGATTTGTATATATTTAACAAAATTTACACCTATTCTAGAAAACTTGACGTTGGTGTTTTTGAAGGCTGAGGCATAGTATCCCTTAGCCCATCACATTGCTACGCCATCTTGGCCCCCAACGAATCTGGTTTGTACGTGCAACAAGCACCTTATGCATGCTAATTGCGCCTCGGAGTTTGCTTTTAGGACAGTAAGGTGGATGGCATAGTGTCCCATTGGCTAACCGGCGCGGAGACGGTCCATGTTACACTTTTGATTTGCTGAGCATCCAACACCGACTCCAGGCGGCCTATCGTGGCAAAGCCCAGTCTGACTCGTGAAGCGCAGTGTAACGTTCTGTCTGTGCCTCAAGCCAGTGGATAGCTTACCGGAACCTGTCTATTAGCTTCCAGCTGCATGGTACTAGTCGGAGCTGAAAATGAACAGGCGTCCTGATCTTACATCCGGCGCGGCTGAGCAGCTTCTCATGTCATCCTAAAATCGCGCCGTTGCCCGCTATTTGCGCTCATATCTCGCTGCATTTTGTGAACCTATGAAGAAAAGTCTCCTTGACCATGGCTAACGAATCTCCAGATAGAACGACATGGGCCGTTACCTATCCAACGCCGCCTGCCACTCCAAGTGCAACACAGTTGTCATACAATGGAGCTACTGTAACGGTTATGGCAATATTAACCCCATTAAAGGGACTCCAAGTTCTACCCAAGAGCAATATCCTTCAACCTGATCATGCAACTTCCTTTTCAGGCGTCTGGGTGTCTCTTGATAAAAACACGAACGCAATCGTTTTTGGGAAAGACCCCCGTCCTTCTAACACACCCATGTCTGCCACGAAGACTCCAGGGGATGAGAACTCGTCCCCGCAAACATCCTCCATTTCTCAATCCACCAGCACACAGGCCGCCGATTCTCTTGGTAGCACAGCGTCTTCAACCTCCAGTCCCACCCTACCATCCGCAGCGAAGGGTTCTGGACTTTCATCAGGCGCAATTGCTGGCATCGCTATTGCATGCCTTGTTGCGGGTGCTCTCACTGCGAGCCTTCTCTTCTGATTTTGTTTCCGACGGAGGAAGTCATCCACACCACAGCACACGGAAGTCGATGAATACACGGTAGCATATCAGGAAAAGGGATTCTCTCCCAAAGCCATCTCAGCCAGTAGAGGAATCACGCCGAACGAAATATGTTCACAGCCCTTGGAAGATGGAGCCATAACCGGGGACATTTGCAAGATCAGCAACGCTATCAAGAATCATGTGCAAAGCTACTATCACCTCAATCGCGTCGGCTCCGGATTGATTGATAACGAAGACCTTCACGCACTTGGAGCGAGTCTGATGGTTTCTGTGGAAACACTCGCTTCCTTGATGGGCAACGCTGCAACAAGAGAGATTGCACTTCGATTTGTCATTGCCTGGGTTATAATATCGAAGATGCAGCTGTCCAAGGACTCTTCGAAGAGCTTTCTTCCAGCCGAGATAGCCCGATGTTACGAAGCAATCATCGGTGAGCAACAAGAACACCACGGTAGGTCTCGCAAGTTCAAGTCCATTATTTTTCACTAATGGCGCTCTAGATCCGCCACTAGTAACCAAATGGAGAGTGATAACAGCTGGATTGATGAACTCCAACTACGCTCACACCGCTATCGATGTTTCTGACAGCCGCTACGCGAGCATACAAGCCTCCCTCGTGATGCTGGATAGGGTTCTACAGCCGTATGCCGACCTTCGGATGAAGAATGAAGAACGTAAACGGAACCTTGAAGAGGTTTTGAAGCGCTCAGCGTCATTCGCATACACGCTGTTTTCTCAGCCTAGCACATGGAAATTCGAGTGGCAGAAGGGACAAGGTGTCACGTCAGGGGAGCTATGCGTTTTCCCCGCTCTAGTGCAAGTTGCAGACGAAACGGGTCAACAAATCAACCCACCACGCCCATTCAGTGAGGCTATTGTCAGGCGTTTAGACACCTGAAGCATTTCTTTTTGTTTCACTCAAGAATTTGACAAGACATAACTTCAACTATTATGCCTATGCACTATTCACCGAGGAAACCGATACAAGGCTGTTTTCTTTCTACTTCCTGTTTCCTTACCGTTCCAACCTGAGTCAGTGTTCACTCGGCTAGTGGACTGGGATTAGGTGCGTAGACGCCTCATTCCATTTCCAATTTCGTTCACGGGCAAAGAAAAAGTAATCACTCTATTTCCATTGTGGCACAAATGTCTGATTACGGATACCGGCCAGCTGTAATGAATATTAGCGCATGATAGAGAATGAGCCCCCGCCTGTGCAACAGCCGCTGCGTGTGTTCTAGACCCCAGCGAGGCGTAGCACTGTGGATTCAAAATAACAAGGATTGACTTCGTGGCGTCGTTTAATAGTGAGTTTTGGTACACAGCCAACCACGTAAACTACGCCACTTCCGGTGCTGCACTCTGTGCATAATGCAGTGCACCGTGAGACAGTAGCATTGGATGCTCGATGGCTCTCTTCACTGCACCGTCACCCGCGCCTGTGCTATCAGCCTGACGCAACCACTCCTTTACCGATCTTTGCTGAGCCTTGTTCGGCCTGAGATTCATACTATCTGTAACCAACTCCCCGTTGAACGATTTGAGACACAACTTCTGTACAAAGAGCCTCGCATCAACTGCCTCTGCGTCCTGTCCATACCTTTGACGTGTACGTCGTCGTATGCGGGCTTTGTGCACCGCTATTTTTGCACACGCCCACTCTAAAGTTTCTTGGAGGATGCGCCCGCTGCTGTCACTCTTATCAGCCTCGTAGCATTAGTGTCCATGTAACTGGGTGGTACGACCACCACTCATGCTAACGTCGGTCTCGATGCTGCCTGCGGGCAATTCACTACTCCCAGAAAGACTGCAAGAGACTGCCCCAGTCACAGCCGCGCGCATAGAGACCGAAGGGGCGAGGCTGAAATACTTTAAACGGAGGATTGCGTGGCCGAAGCAGCAACCGAGAAGCCCTGAAGACCGACCGCCATCAACAGCGACTCCGGGATACAGCGATTCAGATGAATTTCCTGCGATACGAATAGCGTACTATTTCGCCGGCTATATTCTTTCCACAGACAAGGCTTCAGCGGAGACTATAGCTTTTGTTGGCATCATCCAACAGGTGCGAACAGGCATTCACGAGGCAAAGACACTCTATCTTTCAGCTACGGTTTCAAACTTTCTCGATACTTATCCAAGCAAGCGCGCATGGATCAAGGAGTCTTTGTATGTGGCACAGCGAACCCTTAATGATATCGGCATGGAATTGGATTCAGCGTGGGTCAACGACGAAGACAGTGGCACGGCTGCATCAAAACGCAAGCTTGAGTGGGTGCTGAAGAACCAGAAAAGGCTGCTAAAGAAACACCAGCAACTCAACCAGTGCCACGCTCAGTTGACTGGCGCCATTCATGTCATGCAGACGGCGGAGTTGTGCGGCAAGCCTGGGGTCGTCGCACACGAGGCTATTTACGAAGCCCCGGTGCGACCGTGGGTGCCCCACGACGAGAAGGATGTGTTACGCGGTCCTTACTCGAGGCAAAAGCATCGAATAAGTCACAACTCTCCGTCCATATCAAATCTTACACTACCACCAGAAGCCGATAAATATGATGCAGAAAGTAAGTTTGAAGCTTCTGGGGTATAGTCAAGACTAACTCAACATTCTGCAGCAATCTCCGTCAACTTGGCCCCGGTAGAGCTAGCAGGATGTATGCCCTCTGATCTTCCCGATAACCAAGAAATGCAAGCTTTTTTGAGTCCTCAGGCTTACAACGAGGGTTTCCCTGCTAGTCCCGGTCTACTCAGAAGACAGCGAGCGTCTACAGACTATGTTCGACCGGCCGTTAGAAGAGAAATACGAGCTCGTGCATCGATTGACATAGCCGCCCCGTCCTGGGAACTGGCCGATACACCCCTTGGACGCCATGATTCGACAGCATCTGCAGACGCTACAATTGGTGTTCCAATAATCGCGAGAAGATACCGGGCTACATCGATTGACATTACAAGACATACAGAAAGGCAGCGATCGCTGCCTTTGGGACTGCCGCGTCTAAGGAGCCAGCCATCTCTCCTGGATGATTTAGCTGACTTTGTTCACCCAAGTATGGAAAGTGAAAACCTACAGGGAGAAATGCTGATCACGTCGCCGACTGGGTCGGTGCCATCTATCTCAATTACATCGACTCCGACAATGGGTCATGCTTTGCCTGTGGCCACGGAGACAATAGCAAAGTATGACTTGGTCACCGAATCTACACTGCAGTCTACAAAAGATTCTGAAGAGGGGGTCACTACACCCGAAATAATTGGACAGAACCAGGAATATAGCAGTCCAGAAGTTGCAGTCGACAGCCAAACTTGTGAAAGCTTCCTATCCAAAAGGACAAATTTAGCTGGAATAGATTGCACACCAGCACCAATGTACCAGCACTGCTGGCCCTCAAGCGCATCTTTATCCTCAGGCTCTCCAGCCACTCTCACTCTCTTCGAAGACGACGAGCCCGTCCTCCGACCAAGCAGCCAGAGACCCTCTCGGCGCACAGCGAAAAGAACATCACTCGCGTCCAGTAATCTTTCCATCGCCACATCACCTTCACCTACAACCAGCACCATTTTCGAGTTGGACGCCCAGCCCCCTGCTACGCCCTTGGCCTTTGACAGATTGAAAAATAATGAGAACACGAATCCAACCCCTTTTTCTCAACCATCCTCTACGATTGTCGTTGAGAATGCCTATTTCTCCTCCCAGCGCATCTTGCCCAACCCGAAGGAGATAACTGCAGATCTACACGATGAAGCAGTATTATCCGTGCTTCGTCGGAGACTCAAAAAACATGTTCCGACGCATACGCTAGCTCTAGAAAGTGGATTGCCTTCATTACCGTCTACTTCGTCGTCCGGTGAGAATTGGGAGCAGCCAGCGGGGAATACGACAATGTCTTCGCAGGCTAAACGGCGAGCTGCACAGGCGAGAAGGATGCATTTGGCGTTTGGAAAGGATGATGATAATCAAAGGTAATGTGATTGAGGTTTGTGTATGTTTATGAAGAGGGTTTGTGCTGGTAATTATCAGATGCTGATGTATTGAATGATGACTCTGAGAAACATTGTTATTTGTCATGAGTGATTCAGACGTGTTGACGCGGCGGATTTCATGATGCAGTAGAGTACACAATATAAATTAACCGTGAGGTACGTAGTGTATCCTGTACCTTATACACGATATATAGAAAGCAGGTTTAAGCACAGTTTTCAACACCAAGAACTGTGCTATGGAGTGATATAGAAGTCCAAATTCAATATCAAGCAGATAGCAAGAGGCAGCATAGTTTCGCACTCATCACCCACACATACAAGCATCAGGACACTGCAGCAAAAAGTTTCAGACGGCAGACTTTTTTTTTCAACAATAGCTACGATACAGTAATAAGCCTACCGTCAATAATAAACCCCCAAATGCAACCAAAGAAGGAAAAAAAGAAAGTAAGAAGCAACAATGGCTTCCGACTCCCTTCTCTCAATCTCCTTGATAACCTATCATTACCACCCCCTAAAGAATGTAAAATCGAGAGATACCAAAAGTACAAACATTACTCGCGAGCTCCGTACACGATCTTCTCATATGACAAAGACTAGAGTCCGAAAAAACCCGGAAATTGCTAGGATACCGTACGAATCCAGTACTGACTTCCATTCCAAAATGAAAGAAGAAAGGTTACCAGATCCCTCAGGCTATCCAGCAAGACAGTCTTTTTGGACTCTAGTCCAGTCATCCGTTCCACCGCTCATGCGTGCCCATCACGACCCCCTCCTTTGCCTCCGGAAGGAGGAAAAAATTACAAGCCGAGGGGGTCGAGATAGAAGGGCAGGCTTAAGCACCGTTCTCGTTGGCGTTGCCGACTTGGGGAATGCCGATGTTGGGGAAGGAGCCGGGAACGTAGGTAGGGATGGTGAGGTGGGTGACGGTGATGGTGTTGTGGCGGTTTGCGGTAGCGGCGCCTGCGAAGAGGGCGAGGGCGGCGGCGGCGACAACGGTGAACTGCATTTTGATGCTTGTTTGGTTGGTTGGTAGTTTAGTTGGTGATTGAGAGGGTGGTCAAGTTCTAAGATGTAATTGTCTTGTCAGTATTGTTGTAGACATGAGGGAAGGGAGGACTGAAGAAGCTGTCTTTTTGAGATGGAAGAGGAGAAGGACGAAGTTGATAGTGGTAGATTGTGAGAAGTGGAGGGTTGGAACGTACTTGTTGTTGGTTTGGAGTAAGTGAAGAGAAGTAGTGATTGAATGTGCTTTGTGTTGCTTGCTGATGAGAAGTTCCTTTCAGCGGAAGAAATGGGGGGTATTTATGCCCCTTCTCCTCGACGCTATCTTCCCAATCCTGATGACCAAGTCGGGTACTGTGCGTTGTGTGTTTGGTTCCGGATATCAACTATGGAACTTGGTAAGGAAAGTATGGGTAAAGATGGCTGTGTGCATTCATATCGCTGCGTTGAGAAGGTAATCGGCTCCGCAGCCAGCATATGATAGTGTGGTACAGAACCATGTTCATTTGTTTGTGGGTCGGTCGGATGTAAGGTGTGCTGGTAGAAGGTTGGGGGAGAGTGGAGTTTCTCCAGAATGTCCATTGATATATGTCATCATTGAGTAAGCGGAAGGGGCCCTTACTGTTGTTCCTTCTCATTCTTATCAAGTGTATGGAAGGTTGAGCCATGAGTATCGTTGTTTCCCGTGGTTTCAACATGCACCTTGAGTATCAGATGATTTCCCCGCTTCAGAACCAGAAGTTGCATGCGTCTCGGTTCTTGTTTCCATACCCGAGATGATCGTCTGGTTCGTTCCTGGAGTGTAGCATTGCGTTATTTGGTTCCCCACTACGTACCCGACCCTGCATGCCACGAGGTTCAGGGACGCGACCCAATCTTCTTGGCCTCCACCCAATGACCGTTGCATACACTATATCTCATTCGCTTCTTGAGATATTGTGTTTATATCATCATTGCACTGAACCAGAATGTGGACATGAATCGAAAGAAGTCTTGTGGGTATGGTTTTGCACAGGGTCGCATTGCCGCAAGACAAAGACTTGGGGCGGAATCAAACCCCACAGATTCGTCTCGGTGAAGTCCGGATTCATGGAGAATGGTAGCGTTCCTACGAGATAATCCGGTTGCAAGATTATTTGGGCTATAGGTAATGCACCTCGAGGACATCACGGCTCCGCTCATTGCATATCATTCTCGGGAAATACGGGAATCGGTGAACACATACCGACATCCATAGATTGGGTGGGCAGTATTTGGGCTTGGATTGGTAATCTTTCGAAGAAGGCAGATTGATGTCGAAAACATAACTCTATGCTACATTAATGCACTATGTAAAGCTCGTACTTGCCTACAAGCACATTGGCAAGGGTAAGGCAGTAAGATCACATCAGAGGCATCGAAGAAGATGATTGTGGGCATATAATGATCATTTATAGAGGTACTCAAAAAGCAAGCATCGCCGCTGGCGTGCTCTTGCGAGTAGATTCATATTTGAAGCACATCGATGAGCATGTTTCAATTTGGTTCTAGGCAGAGCCACAGAATTAGCAATGAAAGACTCCATCTGGTAGCAAAAGGCAAACTTACTATTTGGCTGGAGAGCCCCTTTCCTCCACAGTAACTCTCGAAGCTGGTGGCTTGACCCCTCTTCGCTTTTAGGCGGCATTAACAGGCCGGAGCTGGACGTAAGATGTGTTTAATTTTTGATCGCATATGCTGTATGCAATGATACCGCAGCGTCTATGACAGAAGGTCGGCGACGTTCATCGGCATCTCATCAATCTGAGTAGAGTAGTACACTGCAGCAATTAGCATTGATCCTCCAAATCCGACGTTTCCAAGACCTACGTTCAATGTCACGAAGAATGCGCACGTCATCCTGGGTCACAAAGTTGATGGCTACACCCTTGCGTCCAAATCGGCCACTACGACCAATCCTGTGAATGTAGTTTTCACGGTTTGATGGAAGGTCGTAGTTGATCACAAGCGACACCTGTTGTACATCGATACCACGAGCCCACACATCTGTTGAGATGAGCACGCGGGAATTAGCCTGACGGAAGTCCTGCATAATGCTGTCTCGCTCTCGTTGCGGCATATCTCCATGCATTGAGGAAACGGTGAAATTGGCCTCGCGCATCTTGTCGGTAAGCCAGTCAACTTTGCGGCGTGTGTTACAGAAGATGACTGCTTGTGTGATAGTAAGGGTATCGTAGAGATCGCAAAGGGTATCAAACTTCCACTCTTCCTTTTCAATGGCGATAAAATATTGTTTCAGGCCTTCGAGCGTCAACTCGTCACGCTTGACGAGAATGCGTACGGGATCGGTCATGAACTTGGTCGTCATCTCGAGTACATCGTAAGGGAGGGTAGCGGAGACAACCACCACCTGAGTGGCGGGTGGAAGGTAGCGGTAGACATCGTAGATCTGCTCACGGAAACCGCGGTTGAGCAGTTCGTCGGCTTCATCAAGAACAAGCATCTTGATGTTGCGTGTGCGGAGGTTGCGGCGGCGAATCATATCGGCAACGCGTCCTGGGGTTCCAGAGACAACATGCTGGCCGTAGTCGAGCTTGCGGATATCTTCGCCAACGTTGGTGCCTCCGATACAGGCGTGGCACTGTACATTCATGTAGTCGCCAAGACCCATGACGACTTGCTGAATTTGCGTCGCCAGCTCACGAGTGGGCGAGAGAACGAGCGCTACAGCTTGTTAGTATGCGCTTCTTCAGCAAATCCACGTGCGATCCTACCCTGCGTCTCGCGCACAGCTGTATCGATGACCTGGAGGATCGAGATGGAGAAGGTGGCTGTCTTTCCCGTTCCCGATTGCGCCTGGGCGATGGTGTCGCGGCCTTTGCAGACCTGCACAATAGCACGCGACTGCACAGCCGAAGGCGACTCGTATCCGTAGGCATAGATGCCGCGCAGCAGGTTCTCCTTCAGGTGCATGGCCTCGAAGGTCGGCGCGACCGTGACCTCTTTGGAGGTGGAGAACTCCATCTTGTCGTCGGCATTTCGGTCGATTCCGTCCGCCATGTTGGCTGTGGGGGTCGTGGTGTTATCGGTGGGAGAGATTCAAAAGATGAGTATGAAGTCAGTCTTGTTCGCGATTCCCAGAAAGTTTGGAGCAGCCGCGTCTGAGCTTTGCGGAGGGCCGGAGCCTCGGCGATCCCGTTCCGGGTGCTAGCGCGTTTTCTGATTTATGTGTCGCCGCGACAGGCTCCACCCAGCAGCTCGTCAACGGCACGCCCCAAAGGTCTGCACATCCATCACCGAACCGCTGCTATATCCCAGACTCATAGTTGATACAGGCGACCGCAGCCATGCTTCTGGAAGACCAGCGCCAGCTTCACGAGGACCTGGAGCGGCTTGAGGATGCCGCCGCAGAGCGCCTTCTCGAAGACCCCCCGCATGTACGTCTGCCCTTTGTGCCTGTCGCGACTCGAGTACTGACATGCGGCCAGATTCGCGACCGCCTCGCACGTGACCACGACATTGCACGATTCCTCGAGCAAATCGAAAGCCAGTCGAGCCGCCTACTCAAGATCTATGAAGATGCCGATGGCAAGAAGGAGGATGAAGTGCGCGCTCTCACCCACGGCGACCCGATGGAGTCCTTTTTGAAGGAGGTCCAATCCATCAAAGACTTCCACAACCGCTACCCGAACGAGCCCGTCGAGAACCTAGAGAAGGCCTACAAGAAGCGGTCGCCCGAAGATCACGCGCAGTCTATTGCAGCCATCGACTCAATGTTCACTGGCGAGGAAGGTTTCGGTCGCTTCTTTGACCTGACCACGCTGCATGAGCAGTACTTGAACCTTCCTGTTCATCAGCACGCGCGCCGCCTGACGTATCTGCAGTACCTCGATCTGTTCGATGTCTTCACGCCTCCCCAATGTAACATTCGCCGCGATCAGAAGAAGTCTGAGGCCTACTTTCATTACCTGAAGGCCCTGCAAGATTATCTCGAGAGCTTCATGCGACGGACAAAGCCTTTGGAGAACTTGGACAGGCTCTTTGCTAACTTTGACAAAGAGTTTGAGGAGCTATGGGAGAAGGACCAGGTACCCGGTTGGGAAAAAGTTGCTCCGGCAGCAGCCGACGGCGAAGCGCAGGGCGAGGGCATCTGGTGTTCCGCATGCAAAAAGGGGTTCTCAAAAGAGACGGTCTACGAAGCGCATTTGACAGGCAAGAAGCACAAGAAGGCGGTACAAGAAAGCCAAAACGGCACACAGGATGGTGGCAAGCAGGCAAACGGTGCTTTTGCAGACTTGCAACGCTTCAAGGAATGCGCTGTTGCCGAGCGAGAATTCAGGATACGAAAGCTCGCTGCAGCCATGCAGACTGAGCGCGGCGATACCAAGATGAACGTCGAGCGTAAGCAGGGCATGACTGAACGCGAGCGACAACAGGAACTCGAGCAACTATACTCCGAGACACCGGAAAGCGGCGCAAAGGAAGAAGACAACGACTCGGACGGCGAAGACAAAATCTACAACCCGCTCAAGCTGCCGCTCGCATGGGACGGCAAGCCCATCCCCTTCTGGCTGTACAAGCTGCACGGCCTGGGCGTCGAGTTTCCCTGCGAAATCTGCGGCAACTTTGTCTACATGGGCCGCCGCGCCTTCGACAAGCACTTCAACGAGCCGCGCCACATCCACGGCCTCAAGTGCCTCGGCATCACAAACACGACGCTTTTCCGCGAAATCACCAGCATCAAGGAGGCCGAGGACCTGTGGAAGAAGATCCAAAAGGACAAGAAGAAGGAGAAAATGATGGCCGAGAATGTCGTCGAGATGGAAGACTCAGAGGGCAACGTCATGCCCGAGAAGGTGTACAGGGATTTGGCCGCCGCTGGCATGCTATAATCCGTCGAACTGCCGTGAATCTGTATCTGTTCGTTTTACGCAGCGAGTCCAGATTTCGGTCGTAAGAGAAAAAAAAGAGCATTGCGCTACAGCCAAGCCCGTGGCTACTCACCATCACTCAAGAGGCCTTCAAAAGCAACGTCCTGTGCTACTCCTTGGAACTTTCAAAGGCAAGGTCCCTCAGCGCGTCGTTCCTTTTTTCTATTCCATCTCCCTCCCTTGAATGGCCGCATCGGTCGTCACAAACACACTGCATGGCTGGCGTTATTGGCGTTAACTCAAGGCACGACGAGGACAGTTCTCTTTTTTTCTTCTTCTTTCCATCAGTCCTTGATCCATGCTACATGCCCTTTACAGTTTTGTATCTGGGGGAAAACGAAGAGATATCCCGAGAAGAAAAAAAAAGAGGCAGGGCGAGATCCCTTCAAGGGGTTGATGTATCGAGCATAGTTGGAAGTAGGGTGAAATCATAGATATACAAGTAATCAATCGTTGGAAACACACTCTATGTATTGCAATGCGAAAAAAAAAGATGAAAAAGAAAACAAACTTGGTGAATAGTAGTAGTAGTAGTAGTGACCATGCATTCGAATTTGTACTAACAGAGACACTATCCCCCTTTCCTGCATCTATATTTACAGATACATGGTTGACCAGTCACTCCGCTCACAGAATCAACATGATGGCGCTACTGTCCCAAAAACTCCCAGAGCCCCTCGCCATTGACAAAATCACCCCAAATGACATTGATAAGCCAGTAGTCGCGTCTCAGCGAACCCAACAGCGTGCTCGATGCGCTTCTCGGGGGGTAAATCCTCTGCCACTCCTGCCAGATGCTAAACGCCTCTTCAAGCCAACTCTTGAAACTGACAGCCTCGATAATCGTAGGCGTGACGATTTCCTTGCCTGCAAACGTGCCCCACGTCACGGGGTTCACGCTGTCTTCCTGGCTGGCTTCAAAGTCACCGGCAGCATTGCCGGCAAAGTATGTAACCTGTTCGTGGGCGTCGAGTTTGGGTTGGAGGGCGGCGAATTCCGAGGCGGGGATGAAGAACTCGACAAAGGGTTTTTGAAAGACGTAGCCGTTCTTGGGGCCCCAGCCGAAGATGGGGTCTGTGGATTTGACGCCGTTGACGGCGGGCTGCGAGGCTACTGTCCACCAGCCCTTTGCGTTCAGAGCCAGCAGTTGCTTGCTGATGGTCATGGTTTCAGGCGAGAGACTCTGTTCGCTCCATGGTATGGCTTCAAGGTCTCCTTCGATGTGGCGGCGGAACAGGGCGGAGATGTCGCTCTTCTCGACGGGGTGGCCCCAGAGCTTGAGTGCTTGGGGTGTAGAGACGTGCAGCGTTGGACCGTAGCCATCAATCTCACCGAAAGCGGGCGAACGTGCATCACCCCATCGACCGTTGGGGAAGTCATCCCACGTTGCTTCACGACCGAGGGATCCTTCGCCTTCCGAGATTGCCAGTGTAGTTGCACGAGTGTTGATTGGTCCTCGTGGCGCTCCAGCCTCCTCTTCAGTCGCTTCATACGAAGGGTTGCTCGATCTGGCAGCGGAAATGTGTGATACTATCACTCTGTTGCGCGGACCAGAGTTTACGGCTGATGACCGACGTCTGTGAGGTACGAAGCCGTTGGGTGGCGGCTCCAGGTTGATGGCGGGCGTTGTCTCTACAATGACCTCACCATCCTCTATGATTGTGCTAGGAATGAGATTTGTATCTTCCAGAATATGCGAGACGGCCTTTTCCAGGTTGAGAGTGTAGAAATGGAAGCCTCTCCTGCAAGTATCTGGCCGCGCCTTGATATGCTCCACTATCTCGTCCATGATCTGAACACCCACTTGCTTGACTAATTCATCATCGGTCTTGACTGCGTCCAGTCGCGCTAGGATTTCCGCGGGGAGCTTTGCATGCGACAGCTTGGTAGTCCGAAGCAGGATTTTGTACGACTGGATTGGCATCAATCCCGGTATTATGGGTATCGTCTTGAACACTCCACTCTCGTGCTCCCTGAGCATCTTCTCAAACTTGTCGTAGGCTTCCACGTCGTAGAACAACTGCGTCATTATGAAATCGGCGCCGGCCTTTGTCTTCTCGACAAGATACGGCAGGTCAAACAGCGGATCTTGATGCTCGGGGTGGCTCTGGTCCGAGTGACCCTCTGGATACGCAGCGACACCTATGCAGAAGTAGTCGCCATAGCTCTTCCGAATGTACCTGACCAGGTCAACCGCCCACGTAAAGTCCTTGTTCGAATCCTGTTCCGGCGGCGTATCCTCATCCCTGTACTCTTCACTGCGCGGCGCATCACCCCTCAGGGCCAGGATGTTCCTTATGCCCAGCACTTGAGCCTGCTCGAGCGCCTCGTCGATGAGCTGGCGATTCATATTGGTACATGTCAGATGGAGGCATGTTGTGAGGCCGAGTTGGCGCTGGCAAATCTCGGCCAGCTCGAGCGACTTTGTGGCCGTGGATCCTCCGGCACCCCAAGTGACGGTGACAAACAGCGGGCGGAGCGCCTGAGACATGCGCTCTAATCGCGTCTGGAGGTTTGCAAATCCCTACAGGGTGGCGGTTAGTACTTGTCGTCGTCCCGGCTTCCCGGTCTCACTCCCCCTCCCCCTCGCTTTCGCAATTGTCGCGTGTAGGCGGGGCAAGCGAGACTCACCATTGCCGTCTTGGGCGGGAAGAACTCGAGCGAGAAGTAGTTGGCGCCATCAGGCAAGGCATTGATCTTATCCGTAATCTTCTCCATTGCAAAGACGCAACCGAGGGTGAGCTTGAAGATGGCGTGGCAGAAGACGGGGTGTCATGGCTGCAAGTGATGAAAGAACAAAAAGTGAGGGCACCTGCTCATGTGGAAGCCGCAAGTGGGGCAGCAGATCGACGGTTGGGATCTTTGTCCTCTACTTATCGCCGAATCCATTGCCCCCTTTGGTCGCTTTCTTCCCCTCAAATCTCCAGACCGGGCTATGCCGCGTGTCTCTTGCCATCGGTGTAGTGCCTCGTCAGCCGCATGGCGGTACTCGCACTCGGGTCAGCTACGCCCACAGCTGTTGGTGCGCCTGGGCTTCGCAGCACGAACCGAAGCGGGGTCCCGAATACTAGTAGCAGCATAGCATTTGACGGTGAGCCGCCGTGGTAATAGGAATATATATTGCTCTTTGTAAAACGAACAAATGCAAAAAATGGTTCTCCATGTTGCCATTACCCTTTCATAGAAACAAGTCTCCAGTGGTGTGTAGCCTTCACTACCAAAAAAGGTACTGCACCATGACCATGCCCTCAGGATGCATCGTACTGATACTCGCAGCTTAGCCATGGGCAGTGTAACCCCACAGTCTACCAGTACCATGTCCCACCCGCTCCCCCGCCGAATCGATGTACACTCGCATTTCCTCCCGCCATTCTACCGTACTGCGCTAGCTGAAAATGGGCACACATTCCCTGACGGCATGCCAGCCATCCCCGAGTGGTCTCCTGAATACCATCTGGAAATGATGAGCATCGCCAATGTCTCCAAGTCCATCCTGTCTGTTTCTTCGCCAGGAACGCACATAGTCGCTGGGAACGACGCACTATGCAGAGATCTAACACGTCAATGCAATGCCTACGCCGCACAGCTCAAAGCGCAGCATCCAGACAAATTTGGCGTGTGGGCCGCGCTGCCACTTCCAGACGTTGAAGCAAGTCTGCTGGAGATCGAGACGTGTCTTGGCGAGGAAGCTGAGGGCTTCGGCCTCATGACCAACTATCACGGCAATTATGTTGGTGCCGAATCGATGGATCGCGTGTTTGATAAACTCAACCAGATAGCCGCAACCGTCTTCATCCATCCCACCAAGCCGTGCATAAAGCAATGCCACGATACGTCGAGCGCGCAAACTACGGCTGCTCTTCCCCTTGGCGACCAGTACCCTGTCCCTATTTTTGAGTTCTTCTTCGACACTGCGCGCGCCGTCATCAATCTCTTCAGCACGGGGACCGTGGATCGCTGCCCAAACATCAAGTTCATCATTCCGCATTCCGGGGGTGCGTTGCCACCGCTCATGACACGCTTCATTCAGTTCTCAAGCGTGGTACCTGGAGGGCGGAAACTGGATGCGCCGACGGTGCGGCGCCAACTCGAAACACAGTTCTACTTTGACCTGGCTGGGTTCGCCTTCGACGGGCTCAGCGGCGGAAACGGGCAGCTGAAGGCCTTCGCCCAAGGCTTTGATTTCTCTTACGAGCGGTTTTTGTATGGCAGTGATTTTCCTTTTACGCAAACGCAGTTTGTAAAGTCGTTTGCGGATCGCATGAAGGATGGTCTGGAGCATCTTTACAACGAGGAAGAGAGAAAGGCGATGTATGAAGGTAATGCAGTCAAGCTGCTAGAGCAAGGAAAGAAGAAGAATGTGGGATGACTTGAATGCCACGCGGAATAAGAATAAATTCGACTACTTTTGAGGCAAAGTCTATATGTACTTGTACGGGTTCATGATGCCGTTCTGATGTTTTGTTAGCATAAACTTTTGGAGCGAATCAATGTGAATATGACTTACAGGGTCGTACAGATCCTTAATCTGCTTCATTAACCTGATCATGGTCTCACTCTTGCTGTATCCAATATAAGGCTTCTTGGTCACACCCAGGCCGTGTTCAGCACTGATGCTGCCGTTTCGCTTTTGCACCCACTCATAGACGAATGGCTCAAGCTGCTTCTCTACGGTCTTGTCAAACTTTCTTACTGGGATGTTGAGGTGCAGGTTGGCGTCGCCCATGTGGCCGTATCCAACGACATCAACCACGGGGTGAGTCGGCTCGCTACCGAGCAGCCCAGCCTCGGTCAAGCGATCACGTGTTTCATTGACTAGATCGTAGAGCTCTGCAATCGGGATCGACAGGTCGTACTTGTAGACACCACCGTCATGGCCGAGGCACTCGGTGATACCTTCACGCCATGACCAGAGCTCCTGGATCTGAGTTTGATCCTGAGCGAGGACACCGTCCGAGACAACTTCGGTCTCCATGACATGCTCTAGGAAAGTTTGCAGTTTCTTCAGAAAAGTCAGTTGTTGCAACATTTGAGTAAAAATGCTAGCTTACCTCACTGTCGTGATCGGCATTGGAGCCACTGGTCTCAATCAGGCAGTAGAATGGGTACTCTCCTTCGAGAGGCATCTTCTTACCAGTCACTCTGTTGACCAGTTTCTGTGTACGTCCATCCATCAGTTCGAAAGCTGACAGAATCTCGGAAAGATGGCCCTTGGCCTCGATATAGGCCTTTTGGACCTTTTCATAACTTTCAAGACCAAAGTATGCGACGTTGACGGCGGGCGACCTTCGAGGACAAATGATGGAAACCTTTGTGATGATGCCGATTGTGCCCTCTCCACCAATGAAGAGCTGCTTCAGGTCGTATCCAGTGTTATTTTTGCGAAGCGTCGAAAGGTCATCCACAATAGTGCCGTCAGGGAGAACAGCCTCAATGCCGAGTACGTTGCCGTGGAAGCTGCCATAGCGCAGTAAACGGAGACCACCAGCGTTGGTTGCGACATTGCCACCAATATAACATGAACCCTTTGCACCGAGATCCAAGGGGAAAATGTGCTTCTTCTCGGCGAGGAAGTTGTCGGCGTTCTCCAGGATGACACCGGCATCGGCGACAAGGATGCCGGACACTTCGTCAAAGGACCTGATTTGGTTCATCTTCTGCATGTTGATGACAATCTCATCGAAGACGGGCACAGAGCCACCGACAAGGCCGGTGTTTCCACCTTGTGGGACGACAGCAAGCATGTTTTGGTTGCAGTATTTGAGGATCTTGCTGACCTCTTCGGTAGTGCTGGGCTTGAGAACCAACGTCGTGTGGCCTCTGAACTTGCGCATCCAGTCACTGTTAAAGGGCTCGATATCGGCCGATGCATCTTTTGAGACACCATCGATAACGGCAGAATCTGAGCCCAGCAAATCTTTGAAGTATTGGACGTGCTCTGTGGTCACCTTTGCGAATTTAGAATCACGTTTCAGATGGGGGTATCTGCGCGGCTTAGCCAGGTTTGAAAAAAACTAGCGCAAAGGAGAGAAATCTTACGACTCCGAGGTGAATTTGATTGATTTTGAAGAGGCGGTTGGGCCCTTGACACCGCCCTGCTCATCTGGCTGATGTGGCTCCGAAGTCGCCGACGTGCTTCCAGTCCAGCGAACTTGACTTGTCGGTCGTAGGCATTGGTGGCGAGAGAGCGTACGAGAAGAGACTGCAGTTCGCCGCAGCGAGGATATCAAACGCGCCGAAGGGGCCATGGCTACCGACGTCGAGGAAATGCAAAGCCAAATTTAATTTGTCCAAAGATGGCGTCAGTGACTCTGGTAATATGGATGACATAAGCCGAACGGGAAGCCGAAAGTGAAAGCACGGACCACTGTGCTTGGCGCAGGTTAGGCGGGAGCATCGACGCGGCCAGCTCTGGAGCTCCCGCGGCCAGCTTGTCGCCTGTAACATCTTCCAGCCCCGCCCTCGCACTACCCACAGCCCCTGCTGTATATCAGAGATAGTCCAGGAAGCCTGCAGCAAAGTCGTCGAATTTCTTCACAATGGCGTCCGGCTACGATCGAGCTCTCTCCGGTACGGGCATGTAGCAACGCAAGTGGGTGGTTGAGCTAACTGCGTCAGTCTTCAGTCCTGACGGTCACGTCTTCCAGGTCGAATATGCGTTGGAGGCAGTCAAGAGAGGTGGGTCGCTGCTGCCGCATGATTTACAAAGGCAAAGACTGACCAGTCATTCCAGGAACATGCGCTGTCGGTGTCAAGGGCTCAGACATAGTAGTACTCGGATGCGAAAAGCGATCAGCAATGAAGCTGCAAGATACGCGGATTACGCCCTCGAAGATCTGCCTCGTCGATACCCATGTCGCCCTCGCCTTTGCTGGACTCAACGCCGACGCCCGCATCCTGGTCGACAAGGCCCGTCTGGAAGCACAATCACATCGCCTCACAGTTGAAGATCCCGTCTCGATAGAGTACATTACAAAGTACGTTGCCGGTGTGCAGCAGAGGTACACACAGAGCGGTGGTGTGCGCCCGTTCGGCATCAGTACGCTCATTGTCGGCTTTGACCCCAACGACAAGACCCCGCGCCTGTACCAGACGGAGCCCTCTGGCATCTACTCGGCATGGTATGTTCGCCCAGCTGGTGTTGATGTGTGGCCATGCTAATGCTATGCTAGGAAAGCGAATGCGATTGGGCGGTCGAGCAAGACGGTGCGCGAGTTTCTCGAACGTAACCACAAAGAAGGCATGGACCGGGAGGAGACGATCAAGCTGACCGTCAAGTCATTGCTCGAGGTGGTGCAGACGGGAGCGAAGAACATTGAGATTGCCATTATGGCGCCGGGCAAGGCCATCGAGATGCTGCCTGTCGAGGACATTGAAAAGTACGTGGACAACATCAACACGGAGAAGCAGGAGGAGGCGGCGAACAGGAGGCCCGGAAGGCAGCCCGGCACGGGACAGGCAGCCATCCTGACGCGCCCGGCGGCAGGCGAGGGCTCGGGAGCGAGTGGCGCGTAGAGGCACGGATAATGAGTGACGGCAAAAAGACATGAAGAGCAGAGCAATTGGCGTCTTATGGTAGACCTTGATGAACCTGTCTAGTACAGATGTACGATGAGCTAGTTGCACACGGAGGGCATATCTAGCATGTTACCCAGCAGCTTGTTCTGCCCAATCCCCCGCTCGTTTGCGTGATGTTGGTAGGCATGGTGGCTGGTGTGTCGTTGCCCGTGGTATCCGTTGGAGTCGGTGTAGAGCGGTACATGGTCAGCCGAGCTTGTACGAGGCTTCCTTGACGTCGGAGATGCTGGGGAGCTGCTCGCTGCGCACACGGTCGTCCTTGAGCATTCTGCGGGCGGGCGTGGTTAGATAGGATACTGCAGTGCCGTGGTGGGCTGGCGGGGTGGCGGCATACCGGGAGTCTTTGCGCACGTCTTCGCCCTCTACCTGCAGCGAGGCCTTTGGGGTCTTGGCCTCGAGGACAAAGTGGTTGTCGCAGTGGGGACAGTACTCGTCGCTGCGCCCCGTCAGTGTCGGCGCAGGGACACTCGGCGCCTGTCGACTTACGCATCCTCGAACTCGCGCGCGTCTTTGCGAAAGGCCTTTTTGCACTTTTTGCAGATGAAGGTCATGTCAAACGTCTGCATGAGCGCGTGGTTGGTCTGCTCGGCATGGCATTCTGCGCAGTCAAACCACTTCTTGCCTAGGGCCCGTGGTGGTCAGCACGCGTCCATGATGGGCGGGCCTGGTGCTGGGGCGGGGCGACATACAGCAGGGGGAGCGGATGGAGACTTGGGCGTTGAGGATGTGCTTGCTGCATGGGTGTCGTGTATCAGCGGGCTGCCCAGGCGGCGGTGGCGGCGGCGGCGGCGGAGGAGAAGGCGGGCATACTCACCACATGGCGGCGGCGTCGTTGCAGTAGTATGTATCTTGGGTGAATCTGGATGGATTACAGCACCAGTGCGTCCATGGACAGACTGACGGGCTGCAGGCGGGCTGGCTAGTTGGGCGGCGGTTCTGGGGCGAGGTCGTGTATAATTCGCCGGGTGCCTGATCGCCGGGCATTGGCATGGCTAAGATGCTGACGGTTCCTGGGCAGCTGTTAGTGGAGCAGCATGACGGCAGCAGAGACACGACACGACACGACACAACAACACAGCACAGCACAGCACAGCACAGCACAGCACAGCACAGCACAGCACAGCACAGCACAGCACGACACGGCGACACCGCCCCGGGCCGCGCTGCGCTGCAACTGCGCGACTCTACTCTGCTCTCCCCGGCCGGCCGCAGCCCGACGCCCGCCGCCTCTGTCTGGTGCTGGTGCTGCTGAAACATAATACTCATCTCACCCCGCCCACGCCCGTATTCCCTGTCCGCCCACAGCCTGTGAACTTACGCGTCTCCACCAGGGAGCCCAGCCCTGCCCTACCTTTCCCTACCCTGCCGCCCTACACTCTGCTGCCCACTCCCGCACCCACTGCCACCCTCTCCTGCTCCCCTCCCCTCCCCTACCCACCCACTGCCGCCAGCCCACGGCGTCGCCTGGGAGCCGTGGCTGTATGACCACGACGGAGCCACTGTCTTCTCTCCTCCCTCGCCCCTCCACCTCGACCACCACCACCACCACCACCACTGCCGCCGCCGCCAGCAGCGCCAAATGGGAAGCAGGCCTCGCCGGTCCATGAGCAGTTATAGGATACCTTCTGGTGCCGGCTGACGACCAATCCTCCCGCCATGGACAACCCGCACCAAGAGAATATGGATGGCTCCTCCATAGTAAGCCCACCCGCCGCCAGCGCGCCCAACCCTCTCTGCTCACCCTCGCCACAGAAGCCAGTCTCCTCGCTGCGCGCCCAATTCGAGAATCTCCTCAGCACAAACAAGTCAAATGCGCCGCCCGCCTCGCGCCAGCGCTCGCCCGGCGCCCCCGGCGACCGCCTGGCCATGCCCGACGACCAGCGACGCAGCAACGGGCGCATATCCTTGGACATGCCCAGAGAACACTTTGCGCACGCCTCGCCCAGCGTGGCCGACTACAGCGGGACAGGCTCGGTCACGCCGCGCTCGAGCACACTGGGGCGCATGCCATGGAACACTGGGAAACCACGCCCCACGTCCATGATGGCCTTCTCTCCGCCCAGGTCGCCCACACGGTCACCGCCAAAGGTCACGGTGCAATCCCCCAAATCTCCCCCCAAGTCGGGAGCCGCCTCAGACATCCATGCGCCCCAGCCGTCGCGATCCACCTCTCATGCCGCCCTCGACCCTCCCATGCCACCGTCCAACGGGTCAGGCTACTTCAAGATACCCAGTCGCGGCACCACGCCCGGCCACGACTCGAAGCCCGTCTTCCCGGCCACTGCAAACACCAGCCCGTCGAACGATCCGCGAAAAAGTGACCGGCCCGTATCGTCTGCGCCTCCGGTACCTCCGCCTGTGAACCGGGCTGGCAAGCCCAAGATAGGCCAAAAGTCGCATTCCGTCGACGCGGCCGCCCACGGCAATCTCGCGCCAGACGCCTCGCACGATGCTGCAGACCTGTCTCCTTTCAGCACCCCGCCCAGCAGCAGCGGAGAGGGCGAGTCGTCTCCCCCTGTCAACTCTGCATTTCCGAGACCCAAGCCGAATGCAACACATAGCGGATACTTTGCACAACCGCCTGTGCATTCTATGCCTGAGAAGCCACCTTTGACCGACGCTCGCTCAATGGGAAGGCAAGCTGGGAGAAAAGTACCGCCACCACCACCCTCGTTAAGCGACCTGCCAGATGACCGGCCCTCACTACCCGCTCGACGAGAGAAGGACAACTTTGATTTGCGCAAGAGTGTGCAGCTACAAAGAGCCGCGCCCCCCGACGTGCCTGTGCGACGCTCTTTTGATCAATCGCGCCCGGCTCATCTAGTGCAAGACACGAACAACAAATTCATGCCACCCCCTCGACGAATGAACACAATCGCCGGCATGTCAGCGGCATCCGGCAAGCCATTGGAGCCCCCGAGACCGCCACCACCACGAAACTCTGGAGAGATGAGACGGTCTTCTCAGACACCTTCTGTTCAGGCCTCACAGCTGTCACAGCCGCGGTTTTACGATTCAGACGATGAAGATACCAGTGAAGAGAAGCAACCGGCCACCGCTCTAACCGAATATCCAGACTCTTCTCAAGCAAACCGAAGACCACCCGTATTCCCCGACGGCACCACTGGAATTCCGACGGGCTACGAGACCAAACTCTTTGCCATCTGCGGCGATTACATATGCACCACGGGCTACGTGACAAATGTATGGAATGTCCTCAATGGGCGCTTGCTCATGAGCTTGGCGCATGGTGACACAGTCAAAGCGACAGCAATTGCATTCCGACCGGCGAAAGATGTCGAGGACGAGGGCAAGCGATTGTGGTTGGGCACCAACACTGGCGAAATGCATGAGATTGACATTCCCACGCAGAGTGTAGTGCACACTAAGAGCAATGCTCATGCGAGGGGCGTCATTGTTAAGATTTTTCGATACGCCTCGGAAATGTGGTCTATCGACGAGGATGGCGTAATTCACATTTGGCCAGCAGGTGACACCGGGTGCCCGTCCTTACAGCAAACTCCGCACACATTCCGCATACCCCGTGGACATACCTTTTCGATTATATCCGGATCGCAACTATGGATTGCCTCAACCAAAGACATACGGGTCTATTCACGCACCATGGATGGCAACCATTTTGTTCAAACGACTGAAAGTCCTCTCTCACAGCTCAATGTTGGCGACGTCACTTCCGGCGCCATCATCAGTAGCCAGCCCGATCGCATCTATTTTGGACATGCGGATGGCAAGGTCACAATATACTCCAAGAAAAACCTAGAATGCCTTGGTATCGTGAACGTTAGCGTGTACAAGATCAGCTCGCTGGTGGGCGTGGGCGATTTCTTGTGGGCTGGCTACAGCACTGGCATGATTTATGTGTACGACACAAAATCCAATCCCTGGAGGGTCTTGAAGGATTGGAAAGCGCATGACAAGCCCATAGCGGGCATCTTGGCGGACCGTACAAGCATCTGGAAGCTCGACCGATTCCAAGTAGCGTCCCTAGGCACAGATACAATGCTGCGCATCTGGGATGGCATGATGAAGGATGATTGGCTTGGTAAGTTATTTTTGTTTGAGTCGGCTCTCATGTGAAAAGACTAACGAGGCACAGAAACCCTGATGCAACAACGTGACTCCGAGTATTGCGATTTCCGAGAACTTTCCTTACGGGTCATGACCTGGAATGCTGGTGCCACCAAACCCACGACGCTTCGGCAGACAGATGAAGATCGAAACTTCTTCCGGGAAATCATTGAGCCTGAAAATCCCCCCGACATTCTGGTTTTCGGTTTTCAGGAACTGGTAGACTTGGAGGACAAGAAGATTACCGCTAAGAGCATCTTCAAGAGAAAGAAGCACAAGGAGACTTCGGAGCATGAGCACATGTCTCATCAGTACCGAGCGTGGCGGGACCATCTGGTGCGCGTCTTGGATGAGCATTCCCCACACCAGAACTATGTGCTGCTGCATACTGCCAATCTCGTCGGTCTTTTCACGTGTGTCTTCATCAAGGAATCGGAGCGATCCAATATTCGCGATGTGTGTGGGGCAGAGATCAAGCTTGGATTCAGTGGCCGCGTGGGAAACAAAGGCGCTCTGGTTGTGCGCTTCTTTATCGACGACTCTTCGTTGTGCTTCATCAACTGCCATCTAGCGGCTGGCCAGACGCAGACGTTACATCGCAACAACGATGCAGCCGCCATCATGGAGAGCGCACCGCTGCCCAAGAATCGCTCGCCGACGTCCTGCGCAAACTACTTTGTCGGTGGAGGCGACGGTTCCATGATTCTTGATCACGAGATCTGCATCCTGAACGGCGATCTCAACTACCGCATCGACGCAATGCCTCGCAATACGGTCATTACTGCAGTCCAGCAAGGCAATCTAGCCAAGCTTCTGGAACGCGATCAACTGCTTCTTTCGCGAAAGCGCAACCCTGGTTTCCGTCTCCGTGCATTTACCGAGGCGCCTATCAACTTCGCCCCGACGTACAAGTACGATCCAGGCACAGACAACTACGACACTTCGGAGAAGCAGCGGTCGCCAGCATGGTGTGATCGACTCCTGTATCGTGGTCTGGGTCGAATCAAGCAATTGGAATATCGGCGGCATGACAGTATCAAAGTCTCGGATCACCGTCCTGTCAGCGGAAGATTCAAGCTTCGCGTAAAAACCATCAATACTAAGCGACAAGAAGCTTCACGAGACAAGGCCGAGGTAGAGTTTGAAGCTGTGCGACGGCGAATCGCAGGAGATATCAAGTAAGCTACACAAAAGTCCGGATTCCAGATAAGTACTGACAATGATAGGCTCGACTATCTAATCAACGTTTTCGGCTTGTCCACTCGTGAAGCACAGAAGCTACTTAAAGGAACATGAGAGTATGCGATATTTCGCAAACTATTGCCCACCAGGGTCCAAGCTATCCGTCCTTGTGCACCGGTACCAGAGCTAGACCTCCTACCAGCGTCCGGGCAGTGGAGACGTGTACGCCTCCAACGCGTGATGCAGTCATGACTTAGCAGACGCACGGTTACTCGCAGTATCAGGGATACCAGCCACGGCTCACAGCAGACAAGGATGCAACACCGATCGCGATGGAATGGGGGATGTGGGACATTATGACGTTTCGGGAATGGGGTAATGGAAAAAGCATTGCGTTTGAGGGGCAAATGTAGGCCTCGCACAGCAAAGACGAAAAGGCGCATTCCTCCTGATGATCGGTGCCCGCAATCAGGCACAATAGGAGCTAGAGCGCGTGAGGGCGCGTAGTAGTAGTTCACAGTTGGCGGTCATGGTGACGTCAGATGCGCGTATGGCAACAAATAAAACATCAATCATGACGGTGAAAAAGCACCAAAATCACCCCTCCTCACCTTCACTAGACCTCATTCATGTCCGCAGCTTCAATTGCATTCCCTCGATCACCACTACTAACGACATCAAACGCTCTACCTCGCGCACGACAACTGGTATCGCACCTCACACGACCACAACACGTCGCGCTCTCCAAGACTGCCTTCAGAATGGACAAGGACCAGAGCCGTGGGGAGTCAACGACGGGAATCTCAGAGTGGAAGCAGCGCGCCCCGTACCGCATCCACGAGAAGAATGACGACTTTGACGTCAAATACGAGGCCAACTGCCACTGCGGAAAGGTCAAGTACCAGCTCAGCCGGAGAGAGCCCCTAGACAGCAAGCTCTGCCACTGCACTACATGCCAGACGCAGCACGGTGAGTATTGATGCGTAGCCCTGTCCCTGATACCATTGCTAACACACTGCAGCTGCACCCTTCCAGTGGGCGGCCATTTTCCACAAGACAGACATCAACTTCACGCACGGCCACCACAACCTCGAGTGGTACGACCCGACGGAGAAATCGATTGAGCACAAGCTGCCCTGCAAGGTGCGCTGCTCGTACTGCCACTCGCCCATCATGGACGAAGGCCGCAACATGATTCTGCTGTTCCCCTCGCTCGTGCACCTCAAGACGGACGAGGACAAGGCCTACTTCAAGCCCCGCTGCCACATGTTCTACGGCCAGCGCGTCATGGACATCCCCGATGGCCTGCCCAAGTGGAGCGGCCTGAGCGGCGAGTCGGATCTCATCGAGGATAGCCCGCCGGACATGGTGAGGGACCATGAGCGTAAGCGCGAAGATGAGCGCAATCAGGAGCTGGAGAAGGGCAAGCCTGATGATGTGACGCAGGAGGGCACCAAGCAGGGTAGGAAGGAGGGCGCGGGCTCGAATACGACTTGAGCGTGAGGAGCTTGCAAACCCTTGGCTGGCAAGGGCGTTGCTCTTGTACCCATTTCGAGGCCGTTAAGCATTATCCCATGATATGGACTGTATGGACTGTCCAGGCTCCGCAGAAGGACATGACGAAAGCGGAGTTTTGGCGAAAAAAGTCTGGAAAGACAAAAGATAGCACACGAGCGGATAGGATACCCGAATGACGATGATAACCAACAACCCTTTCTTATTGTTCTTCAAAGAAAAAAGCAAAATGAACCACGAATTCGTGGCTTCGTCTTGTTTCATTTTAGCTCATGACTAAGTAACTAACTCTCTCTATACATTTCCCCCCCCCCCCCATCTCAACAAACATTTAGTCCAGTTCCTTCTTACTTGCTCTTACCCGTGGGAATCTGAAACGCAACAACGGGCTGTCCATGCTCAAACGCCTTGTCGATCCTAAAGAAGCCCTTGCGATCAAACTGGACAATATCATCCACCTTGAGCTGCGCAACATTGCAATCAGCGAGCGCCTTTGTCCTCGTCTCGGTGCTTGGATTAAGGAAGTCCTCAAGCGTATCCTCAGGCTCGAGCTTATCCTTTGTAATGAGGTAGTCAAAGTCGACGAGGTCAATGGGGACGAGATCCTGGTCCTTGGAGAGCCATGTTACTTTTTTGGCCGTCTTCTTGACGTCGCCCTGGAGATGGAGCTCGAGTTCGAGGGCGGTGACGGTGTTGCCGATGCCGTTCTTGGCCATGTCGATGGGGTTGAGCGAGTGCGAGATTTTGCGCACAATGGCGTTGCCCCAGTTCATGAGGGTGATTTCTTCGTCTTGGGCAAATGATTGCGCGTCGGCTTGCTCCATGAGCACCGAGGAGCTGAAGACGACCTTCTTGTTGCCGAGATCGTATTTGGCGTGCTTGGGCTTGTCCTCGGAGATGATGCCTTCGCGCGCGCCGATAATGGTTACCGGGACGCGGCCTGCATCGTCAATGGCCGTGTACCGTGCGGCAGTGGGCTCAATGTGCTTCTTGTTGGTAGCCCAGAAGGCGAACCAGTCTTGGTTGACAATGTTCTTGGAGGGCCCTTGCTTGAGGATGAACTCGCGGAGAGCGGGAATGACGGCTCCGCGGCGACGGACGCCGCGGACAGTTGGCATGCGCGGGTCGTCCCAGCCAGTGACGATGCCTGCGTCGACAATCTTGGTGAGCTTGCGCTTGGACAGGACAGTCTTGACAAAGTTGAGGCGAGCAAAGCCCCAGTTGTGCACCTTGCGCAGCTTAAGGTTCTTGATGAACCACTGGTACTGCGCGTCGCGGTCGTTGTACTCGGTGGTACGGAGTGCGTGCGTAACACCCTCGAGAGCGTCGACAATTGGGCAGCAAAAGTCGTAGGTAGGGTAGATCTTCCACTTCTCGCCGGTGCGGTGATGAGCCTCAGGGTTGCAACGGTAGATGACGGGGTCACGCATAGCCTTGTTCGGGTCGTCGACCGACATCTTTGCACGAATGCACCACTTCAGGCCCTCCTCATTGCCCTTCTTCATCTCCTCAAAGCGTGCCAAGTTGTCCTCAACACTCGAGTCGCGACGCGCGCTAGCAATGCCGTTCATGCGCTCGTCACGCATCTTCTCCTGAATCGTATCATCTGCATATGCAAGTCCATCCTTGATGGCCTGCACGCAGGTCTCGTACAATTGGTCAAACCAGTCACTGGTGTACGAGACTTGGTCTGGCTTGATGCCTAGAAGCGCGCAGTCTTCAACAATGGCATCTTGGAACTCCTGCTTCTCCTTGGTGGGGTTGGTGTCGTCGAATCGCAGCAAAAGCTTGCCCTTGTACTTCTCGTGCGCAAAGTAGTCGTTCAACAACGCAGCCTTTGCGTGCCCAATGTGAAGATAGCCTCTGCACAGAATTAGTTCCACACACTTCAACTACCCAAGGAAAACTCACGAAGGCTCAGGAGGAAACCTAGTGACAATACCGCTGCCATCTCCCACATCCTGCAGACCAATGTCGTAGTTGGCATCATCATTCTTGCCCTCCTTCTTGCCCTTTGCCCCCTCTTTACCCTGTCCTCCGCTAACAACAACCACGCTCTGCGGGTACGCCTCCTCAATGTAGCGGAACCAGCGACACAAGCTATTCATCAGATCCTGCTTTACAAAGGCATGCGCCACGCGGTTCTCGCGAATTGTCTTCCATACTGTCGTATCGGCATCGCTGAGTGTGTAGCCGACAATGTGCGAGCGTAGAGTGAGGTGTGCATCAAGCTCAAGAAGGTGGGGCTCAATTTGCTTCAGGTTGAGGGGCTTGAGGGCCTCGGCACGGGTTTGCCATTCAGCGATAGCGGCGTCCATAGTGATGTGCTTCGGTGGTGATGGAGACGGACTCAAAGAAGCGTTGCCACGTCTGGAAAATGTTGTGGTGGGATCATCTGAGAGTGAGGGGCAGGCGCTTATCTTATCAGTCAGGTACAAGCGCCTGAGTCACGGACATCCCTGCTCACGCTACGTCACTTGTTTTCACGTACTTCTCCAAAGCAGTGCGAAATTTACCCAAATACTCCATAATCATATTAGAACGCCACTCCCATATCCTACAGAACGCCTAGTTATGCGAATTATCTATCGCGACCGTCGCTAGCATGCAAAGACAAAAAGCAACAAGTACCAAACGCTACATCATTACAAGTCGTCAATGTATACTTTGGGAAGAAGGAAAGGAAAAGCGCGTCAAAAAAAGAAACAATGCATTAGGTGCACTCCCATTGAGCGAAGACGCACCATCTCGCGCTGCGATCTGCGAGAACCAAACCTCTCCATGTTCCTTTTTCTCCAATTTTGATGACCGTTTCCCACGCTGTGCCATCGGCATCGCTAAGACCGCCCATGTGCTCATTCTTCCTTGTTAAACGAATGATCTTACCAGAGGGTGTCTGTATCGCTAATTTCGCAGGCTTGGTACTGCCGCTGCCTCCTGAGCCCGAAGAAGCCAGAGATGGGTTGGTGTAGTTAGAGCCCGTCGCAGATATGCTTTGCATACTCATTGCGGATGCGGGCCGAGCGAAGGGATTGGGGGAGGATCGACCATGCAATGCAGGGCTAGGCTCGGGCGACTTCGTGAGAGACGACGGATGTTGGCGGACGCAAAAGACAAAGGTATTGTTCAGAGCCAAGCTTGCGCACTGCGGCTGAGCGACATAGAGATCATGTCTCTGGGCGTGCGGCGTAGGATGGAGGGTTAGGAATGAGTAGGGAGGATTGGTGCCAGAATGCGTCAAGGGCAGACCAATCGCCAGGTTGTGAGGATTGAGCTTGTTCGAATGCTGTAAAGGATTAGTCGACTGGCTCCACAAATCAGTGAGAAAAGTGCTTACCATCAGTCCTCGAGGTCCTGCATAGATTTTCAGGACACCCTGGCCTCCATCGGTTGGGAGAAGTGCTTTGACCGTGTAACGCTTCTGTCCTCCAAACCACTCCGCCTGTGACAAGGCTGGCTTTTTGATTATGTCTCCGCTCTCGAATACGTCACCATCCATGTCTTGAGAGTAGCATCTTGCCTCAACCTCGGCCACGCATTCTACATCCTCTGGTACGTCGATGTAGATATGTGCCATCTCGAGATTGTCCAAGTTCAGGATGCTGGTGTCAAAGTTGACCACGTTAAGATGGTGCTTGAAGTACGTGGGCGTCGCGCAGGGCAAGGCCATGAGTACCTCGTGTGGCTGCGGCGGGCAAATGTGTTGCTGTTCAGGGAGAAGCGGCACATGCGAGTAACAAATTTCCAGTGGCCGTGCGAGGAAGTACCAGGTCTCAGCCATGGATGTCCCAGCAGTGGAATAATGCACGCGTTTCGGATGAGTAGGCCCAGCGAGGGAGCAGTCCATCACGCGCCACTCACCTTCCACAATAACCGCGTTCCAATAATGGTTCGGTCTGGCAACACTCTCCAGGTCAAGCGGCTCGCCCGGCGTTTTCAGATAGCCACGTACCACTTCAGCGTGCATGCCAACAGACGCGCACATTTCAGCCACTACCATGGCAATCTCTTCAGAGCAGCCACGCTTGCTTTGCAGTACGTGGCGCGGATCCATCTTACCCTCAAAATCCTCTTCCCAGGAGATCCGCTCGCTCACCCAGGTGAAGATGGCGCGTAGGCGCTGAATGTCGCTCCGGTAGGGTCGGCATATATAGCTCTGGGCCAGGGTAGCAGGGTTAGTTCCGAGAGGAATGCTGTTAATGAAGCGTGCGCTCTTGTCCACGTGGGCAAGACTGCAAGCCGAAAAATCAGTTGGTTCAGTGATGGGAAGTCCATCAAGGCCTTCGTCACCTTGAGCCGATTCGTAGAGAATGTCAATGGGGTTCAAGACGGGGTAATCCATCATCTCGCATCTCTCAGCACGCTCTGCGCGCTCATTCTTGCTCAATGAGTTGGACCGGTTAATGTCTCTCCGGACTTGTACCCAGTCGACTGTCCCGAGACCCGTATCCCTTGAGCTGCTGGTTGAGGGAACTGTAGGACCGCCTTCAATGCCCATCTGCTCCGTAGCATCCATGCGGCTTGCAGCACGGCTGCTAGAACGGCCTGCAGCGCGACTAGCTGCTCGGGATCCAGGTCGACTAATAGTGTCGATGGTGCTGCGCGCATTGGCCGCCTGCGTCTTTGCAGTATCAATCATCTTTCTGAAGAACCCGCTGCGCTTCGCCTTTGGCCGCCTCAAACCACCAAGCGGATCAGGGTCGTCGGTGGCTGGCGTATTGCTAGCGGCTTGCTGATGGTCGCTCGAGCTTGGTCGCGAGTGAGAGGAGGCGTGACTCGAGTGATAGGTCACACCCGTAAAAGGCGTCTCTGGCCGCTCATCGTCGAAACCATAACCTTTGCCTGCTGTGTCCTTTATGCTCATGAGACTCTTGGGCCGATCCTTGCCAAACTTTTTGCGGTAATAGCTTCCAGCGCTAGTGGCACTCATGTTTGTAGCAGAGTGCCCGGACATTAAGCTGCGATTAGTGCTGCTACTAGTCTGAGTCGTAGTCGTTGAGTTCGTTTTGCTCGTAAATGTGCGGCCGAGTGCATTACGGCCAATGTCGTAGGCAGACTTGCGGTTCCGGAGTACCCTCGATCCTTTGCGCTCCACTTCTTGCTCAAGGGTGCCCATAGATGATGTCGGTCTGTGGCCTGCGGTGCCCGAAGTCTTCAGTGGTACCAGTGGTCCTTGGTCGTCGTCCATAAACATTTCGTTACTCCGGTTCTTCTCTTGCTGTTGCATCCGGCGTAGTCGACTTTCCATGCGCTGCATGTAGTTGTTGACATCCGGTGGTCCATCATCATCGTCATCATCATCTTGATCAAGGGCGGACTGTGTCCGAACTTTCTGGGCCGACGCCTGGTACACTTGATCAAAGGCCTCCGGAGACCATGGCGTTGCCGATGCGGGAACCTGTTCGGGCGATTCGGGACTCTGTGTCGTGGTCATGTCTTGCAAAGATGACATGACATCGTTCATTGCTGTCGTAAGAGGAGATGGCGTAAAGTGACCGCCGTGTGACCTTGGGTCAGGCGAAGGCGGTTCGGGGGTGTGGTAGCCGTGCTGCGGAGGAGGGGCGGGAGAAGGCGATCGGCTCGGGTTGTAGGCAACACGGTGGGGTGGTGGAGGCGGAGGCGGAGGCGAGTCGAGAGGTTCTCCATACTCATCTTGGTACGGTGCGGGCGATGGGCCACGGCTATGATCTAGTTGGTGTTGATACGGCGCAGGCGACGGGCCACGGCTGTGATCCAGTTGGTGTTGGTATGGTGCGGGGGATGGACCGCGACTATGATCCAGCTGATCCTGGTACGGAGACGGGGAAGGCCCTCGGTCGTATGCGCGGTACTGGAAAGAGGGAGCGGGCGAAGGCTTTCGAAACGAGGGAGCTGGAGAAGGGCCTCTGTCGTAGGCTCGGTATTGAAACGAAGGCGCCGGGGATACTGCTCGCGAATGCTGTTGGTACTGTGCCGGTGGTGGAGCGGGTGACGGGGCGCGGTACGGGGCATAGGCTGGCTGTGGTGGCGGCGCGGGCGACACTGCTCTGGTGTAGTGTTGTTGCTGGACGGGAGGTACCGGCGAGATGGCACGAGACTGCTGGCGGTGGTGTTGGTGTTGGTATTGGTGTTGTTGCGGGTGCGGGTGCGGGTGCGGGTGTTGATATTGTGCTGGCGGAGCAGAGGAATGGGTGCTCATGTGTGAGCCATGCCGTGATGGTGCAGGCGCTGGGGACACGGCTCGGGCTACCGGCGTTCTCTTGATAGGTGGTCGCGGGGACACGGCGCGCAGGTTGGATGGCCCTCTTGCCGGAGGAGCAGCTGGGGGCGGGCTCTCGCGGCTCTCAACGGACGATCTCTTCATGGACGAATACGGCGACTTTGTTTTGACGGTGCCGTTGGTCGCGTTGATGCCGCCTGCTCGGAGTCGTTCGCGGGCGGCAGCAGCCGGGTTTGGGGCGCCTGCAGCAGCGTAGGCCGTGAAGGGCTTCCTGAACATGCTCTTCTGCTTCTGGGGCACGGGCTTGGGCTGTTCCTGGGCGCTGTTCTGCCTCGACATGCTCCCGCCGCTGCCATTGCGGGCCCAGGGCTGGTAGTCTTCACTGAGCAGCTCGACAAAGTTGGAGGGAAACAGGCCGACCATGCGCCTGTCGCGCTTGAGGCGGCCCATCCACCACGAGCCATCGCCGGCGTTGAGCACCTCGATCAGGTCGCCCTCTATGAAGCCGAGGTCGCGCTTGGTCTGGAGAAGCGGTCAGGCAACAGGGCGTAGCAACGAGCAGCTAGGGAGCAAACTTACCTCGCCGCCCCACGAGTAGATGGCCTTGCACCAGCAGGGAAAGCGCGTGGGCAGCGCCTGGCCGACGGCCATGATGGGCGGTGGAGGGCGTGCGGGAGCGGCTCTTGGTGGGCGAGCTGGTGGTTGATGGGCAACGGCATGCGTCGGTCGGGGTGGTTACGGGCGAGGGGGGGAGGGAGTAGGTGGTGGAAGAGGATGGGGGAGGTTGGGTGGGCCGCGCCACAGTCGAGGTCGCTGGTATGCAGCAGCAGTGACGGACAAGAGGGCGAGCGCACGGCGAGATGGAGATGGACAGGCCGCGGATGTAGGCCGTCGACAGTAATGCACACGGCGGAGAGATAGGCGGGCGGCGCGGGGGGGAGAGCAGAGCTAGCTAGAGCAAGGCCCATGCGAGCGAGGCAATTGACGTCTGGCTGGGCGTGGGTTGATTTGATGTTTACCGACTCGGGTCGCTGCTTCCCCAGCAACGCCCGCCCAGCTGCGCCCCGCCCCGCCGAGACATTCACCACCACGTCCCATGTCCACGTCACTCAGCCCGCCATCGCCATCGCCATCGCCATCGCCATCGCCTTGCCGCCCTCGACTAATCGCATCATCCACGCCGCCTGCTGACACCCACGCACCGTCTGCCCCGGCCCCTGGCGCGCTGCATCGTGCAATGTGCATGGCAATGCAGGGCAAACCCACGGGCAGCACGCCGCGAGCTGCAGGTCCGCCTTTCTTCTTCTTCTTTTTCTGCTGCTCCATCCGTCTGCATCGATGCATGAGCCGTGGGATGGCCGCGCTGAACCACGGCGCGTCGGCCATTCTCCTGTGCGGCTGCATGGCGATGCGCTAACAGACAAGCCTCGCCGCCTGCAGCCCGACGCGCTTAGCCCCCCATGGTGCAAGATTGGCGGCCACCGCATCCTCTGGTCGCTAACACGCTGTTCACCGCGGCATACAACACAGCCTTCAATACTCTCGGACGCCCCAGTCGACGGCCCATGAATCAGTCGCTCCCAGCCAGCCCGACGGCTGCGGCATCGCTCGGCCCCAGCACGCAGCCGTTCATCACAAAGCAGCACTGCATGTTCAGGCACGCACAAACGGGTATAAAGCGTAAATTGCATATTCACATTGCCCTAGAGCTAAGTACTGCATGCACATGTAGATCGAAAATAGCGCCGCTAGGGCGGATGATGAAAAGATTCCCTTCCCTTCCGTGTCTTCCTCCTCCGCTACGGACGACTTTTGCGCTTACTGGGCCGACTTGGTCGAGTCGCAGTTCGCATCAGTGTGAGGTGCGGCGGCCTGCACTTTGTCAGCACCGGCTGTATTAGCTGGCTTGGCTCCATTATTACCGTATGGGCTGTTGCCGGCAGGCTGTCCCCAGTTACCGTAGGGGCTGCTACCAGACTGTCCATTACCGTTGGGGTTGCCACCAGGCTGTCCATTTTGGCCGTTAGGGCTGCCAGCAGGTTGTCCACTTTGGCCGTTAGGGCTGCTGGCAGCCTGTTCATTTTCGGCGGCGGGGCTGCTGGCGGGGTTGCTGGCAGGCTGTCCGCTGCTGGGCGTGCTGCTGCTGGGCGTGCTGCTGCCAGAGGCACCGCTGCCTCCAGACGGGTTCCAGAGCTTGGGGCCGGGCATAGGGTAGGACGTGGGGTTGCTCCACTTGTTGAAAGCAATACCGGGGTCCTCAGCGCTGTAGAGACCGGGAATCTTCACAGTGGGGCCAAGAGTACCGGCGCCCGAGGACTCGATGTTGAGCTGGAAGCACTCCATGTAGACTGGAGATTGGTGAGTTAGCATACCCAAGCTAATGTTATATAGGGACAAATTGACTTACACTGGGCCTTTCCAACGTGGCCCTCGTGGATGGCAATGTGCTCGACGCGCACAAGGTATTCGCCCTTGGGGATTTGCTCCTGGATGGTCCACTCGATCTGGTCCTTCTGCCACGTCGCCCACGCAGTGTCGACGCCGGGCGTGCTGGGGTTGGTGAGGCCAAGCTCGACGACCTTGGTCCACTCGCCGCTGCCATCGTAGTCGGCAACCTTGCCAGGCGCCTTGGAGACGTAGACGAATCCAGGGCCGGGGTGCTCAATCTTCTCGTTGAAGAAGAGCTTGAAGCCAATCGTGTCACCAGCCTTGACGGTGTAGGTGCCCGTGTTGCCGGGCTTGGCTCCCTGGTTGCACCTAAGGTCGGGCGAGTTGACAATGTCTTTGGCGTACGAGGGCTGGTACGAGTTGGTGTTCTTGCGGGCGTAGGCGTATTCGCCTCCGACAGTCTGACCTTTGTTGGTCACGAGGTTGAAGATGTAGTGGGCGTCGACAGCCAAGGGGGCCGCCAGCAGAGAGAGGAAAGAGCCAGTCTTCATGGTGAAAGTGAAAGGAGAGAACTTGAATATATTCAAAAGAAACGAATGTGGAAGCGAAGGGATGAATCGAAAGTCGATGACTGCGATGCTTCTCCCAGCCAGGCCGACGGGCACCTACTTATACCGCATACTGTGTATTACTGTATTACTACGCATCCGGTACGTGCCGTCAGTATCCTCGATGGGTGGCGCTGCGACTGGCGTCCAAGACTTTGTCTTCATCTATCTCCGCCATGCCAACCCCGCGAGGCCCTGTCGCAAAGCCGGTCGGCATCCACTCTGCCCGCCTACTATTCTCGTTCTAGCCGCGTCTTTAATGAGGGGACGAATGCCAACCTCAGGCTCAAACCGACTTAAGCGGTCGCCAAGAGGGCGCGGCCGCCAAACAAGAAGCAGCGCCGCCAAGCCCAAGAGCCCTTCATCTGTTTCATGTTTCATGCCCCCATCGCCTTGGCAATTTGTGTACGCATCCAAATTCTCCTATTAGTCCCGCGGGTATCCCTACCTGTCACCTTGTCAAAGTGATCCACCGTGGCGGTCAGCGCCTAGCCGATACGCAAGCATTGCATAATGCCCTCCTGGACCGCATCGTTGTATGCGAGGAACCGATTCCGCCTCGTTTCCAGCTTCTCCAGCATGACTCCCAACGAAACATCGAAGCACTGCTCAGCCTCCTGTTCCCGCGCGGCCAAGGGAAAGGCATCCACCTCGCCATCGAGCTCGCTGTCGCTGCGTGCATAGGCCATCCACTCACGCACAACGGGCTGCACGTTCGGTGGCAACACAGTAATCAAGTCGTCCAATGGCGCTCGACAGTGTGGGCATGTCGGAACGCCCGTCTTCTCCTCGTCCTCCCATACATCCACCCATGTTTGAAGACAAGCCTTGCCCATGAAATGGCCACACCGAGTCTTGACCGCGGGCTCCACATCTTCCGCGCCCGTGTCGCCAAACCCCTTTGTACACGCTGGGCAATCTCCGCAGTCAGAAGCAAGCGCCTCGCTGGTCCCGGGAGTAGTAAATGTCTCAACGGGCTTGGCGGTGTAAGGAGAAAGAATACCCTCTGCCTCGCATTGCAGATAGATTGTTTCCACGAGTTGGTACTCCTCGAGGGTGATTGAGCCTACGAGTCCGACCACTGCTTCCCACTCGAGAGACAGAGGCTTGCGTCTATTCACATAGCGCAGAAACTGGTACTGCTGAGGCAGCAAGCCATTCACATCCTCGGGCTCGACCTCAAAGTCGGGGTTGTCATATCGCAAGCTCCCGTCTGTCGGGAATGTGCCTCGACCTTGACGGCCCCGCCGGGTCAAGAATAGAATTCGTGCTAAGACAGCATAGCTGATCAAGCTGTCCATGTGGATGGACTCCATGTGAATTCTCGGACCATCGTGCTCTCTGCCCGCAAGAGGGAAAAGCTCTCGTCCGTGAGCTGCATACCGAAGGTAACGCTCAAAATGGCGAATCCGACCGAGAGTTTCAAGCTGGTCGTCCATTGTTGCTGGAGGAGGCCAGTCCTCTTCCCAATACTTGATGTCCAATTCCTCGTCAAAGAACAGGCGGATGTATTTGCCGATCAACATGACGGAATGCTTCCACTTTTCTAGCAGCTGAGACTGGTCCATGCCTTGAATGGTGGTATTGGCCATGAACCTCTCGATTTCCTCCCTGAGCTCGATGCACTCCTGGATTTCTTGTCTGCTGGCCTCGTCCATTGCGCTTTCTGATGAATCTGACGATATCTTTTTCGACGTGATGTTAGAGTCGATGTTGGTTGTAATCACAGATATTCAACTCTGGTGCAGAATCTGTAGGTAGAGGAATTGGTAGTTGCCTTCACAGCGCACCTCCACACCGCAACACAGTGAGTGACCTTTACCCAACACAGTGGCGATTTGTTTGACATTCACCCTATATCGCTGTTTGCTACTTTCCTCGTCGATCTACAACGTCCATACTGTGGTTCCATAACCCCACTCAGTATTCTCACAATGAATTGCTTCCGTCTAGATATTTATACAACCCCGCGATCTCGAAATAGTTGGAATCACAACAACATTCGAATCACAAGCAAGATATCCAGAAGACAGACTTCCATTCACAAAGCAGAAGCACACTAACAAAGCACGAATCCCATCTACAAAACATGCCTAACCACAGGAACTCCAACGGAGAACTCGTCCCCGTAGCGCTCGAGTGCGGTTTGACCGATTCCCCCCGCCTCATCGAGGCGGTGCACAAAGACATTACTGCGTTCTTGGCCGACACCAAGAAGCTGTTCATGGTCCAGTCGGGCCCTGAAAGCCCAGTCCAGCGGGCCGAAGCCTTGATGGAACAAATGGCGCTTGCGCTGTTCGACCTTCATGAAAAGATACGAGTCGAGCAGCGGGGCCTGTGGATGCAGGGACAGGTGAAAATAGCCTGCGAGGATATTGCAGCTTTGCAGGCGCTGGTCGCGAAGATATCTGGTAGGGAGTAGCGGCCTAGCACGCGTTAGAGGTGTGCGTACTTACCGCGCAAGACCATGGTAAGATTGATGGAGACAGAGACGAGGATTGTACGTAGCTTCTGAGTAGTGTCACGCGAGTAATTTAATTTTGTATCATGTCATTTATGCATTACATCACTACATGTGTCTCTTACGGGGTCTCTGCTTACTTTTTCAGTGGGGAAACCCCCCTCCCGATCCAGACGTGACTAGCTACGCTACACAGGTACAGGTTTCCAAATGGTTTCAACTCACACGGCGTGGGTAGTAAGTAGGTGTGTGTGGTCATGCTTGTTAATCTGCGTAGCTCTATCCCCACAGCCGAGACCAAAAACAAAACGGAAATTATCATCAGCTTCTGGAAACAAAAGCGAAGATCCGAAAAACAAGACGCTGGTAGGCTGCATGCATTGTGTGTGTGTGTGTGTGTGTGTGTGTGGAATGTACAGGGAACGAGATAGCAATCCCTCCCCCCAGCTGCAGGGCCAAGCCCCGTGCCGCTAAGTAGACATGGTCATGTATCATCCAGCCCTTCCCTCTCCCCCATCTCCCCCTGTTTTTGTCCGTCGTATCCACCACACACACACACACACACACACACACACACACACCCCACCCCACCCCAGCCTTAGTCTACTACATCCACAACAAACAATCCACAGTGACGAAAAATGTTTGTTTCGATTTTATTTTTTTCTGTGCAACTTCTTGGGGATCATCGCATACGCAAAACTAAAAGAAAAATGGTGGGTAAGATACTTATTATTCCATTCTGATTAAAATTTGGGAAAGGCGGGAGGAGGTGGAGGAGGAGGGTTTGTTTACTTACTAGTCATAATACATACCACACACACACACACCACACACTTTACTACGGACGGGGATTCATACTATTATAGTATTAACTACTATATACTATAAGAAGAACAAAAAAATATATTGTGTGTGAGAAATTAACGTCATATAATTTACATTTTTTTATTCTTATTTTTCTTAATCGTGCTGAGTGTGTGTTTGCATACTTAAGTAAGTACTTAATAGCTTTTTTTGGTTTCTGGTTTTTTTCTCTCTCTCTCTGTCTCTCCATCTCTCACAGAAATGCTTTTTGCAGGGAATGTCATATCTACCATGTATCTAATGCTCCAAATTGCGCCACATAATGTCCATCTCGAGCTCGTAGGCCGAGTCGACGGTAGATTGTAGACAGGTTACCATGTCTCGCACAGCACTGTCGTCGCCAGGGGCCGGCTCGTTTGAATCGCGTACGACACACAGAAAGAGTTCTTTTCGGCAGATGGGACACCGATGGCTATTTGGTTGTTGGGTTTGAATCCACGCTTGCAAACAGTCCTTGCAGAAGACGTGTTTACATGCGAGGGTGCGGACGACGTGAGCAGTCCCTGCCATGAGGCAAATGCTACATTCCAGTTCGCTCTGGCCTTCAGACTCTGCATCAACATCGTCGCCAGTATCAACTATCGTCACATCCTCTGTGAACTCTTCAATAGCAGGCTCGCTGCTCGCTGGAACCTGCGCATCCAGCATCCCATCCACATACCCCAGCACACTATGCACCTCGTTGACAAACGGCAGCATGTTCTCTCTCACATCAAAATCCGATTCTAGGTTGAGCTGCTGCTTCGCACGCCACAGATCCAAGTCCAAATCCTCATTCGACAACCCCAGCATACACGCGCGGTAATACAGCAGTCTGGTGTAGTAATTGTAGACATCACACTCGGCTTTGACGCGCTCCATGGGGTTGTCGGTGTCGTCGATGTCTGCGATCGCAGCAACGACACTGCTGATGTCCAATTCAAAGTCGTTCAGGAGGTCGGTGACGAGGGCTGCCACATCCATAAGGATAGGCGTGTGCAAGTCAGAGGGCAGGCGGCGGTATTCGTGCAGGCACGCTGTGAAGGGTGTATCCAGGATGCTCATGGATATGGATTCTAGACGGAATAACGGGATCGAGATACCTAGCTGGGCCACGTGCCACGCGTCGTGTAGAAAGTGTTTGAAGCTGGAGTTGGGGGGGTCGCTAGGTGTGGTGGTCAGGGTGCTTTCGGACGGAGGGGTGCTCCATGTGGGGAGAGGAGGGGGGGCAGAATGGGGGGACCAGGTAGGTGAGGAGGCGCGCTGTGGGCCGAGACCTAGGATGGTGAAAATGATGCTTGCGGCGGAGTCATCGGGGGAAAAGGTTGCTAAGCGGTCATCTGTGAGTGACAAGATTTCCTGAAACTCTTCGGCCAATGGGTCTTGTGATTGTGGATTTGGTAGGGCAGGCATGATGGCTGCGTTTGCTTTAGTCACGTCAGACTGTCGATTTGTTGCGGGGTCTCAGCAAGTTTAGTGTGTGGAAATGGAGAGGGAATGTTTGTGTGGATGTAATTGGGAATATTCCGAGTGGTCTTATCTTGTCGTGGGACTTGTGCCGATGTACGCTGTGTAGACACTGTACTTTCAAGCTTCACATTGTTGGTGTCTAGCATATGTTTTTGTTGATGCACTATGGTATGGATTTTCACACGGCCATGCATTTTATAGCCTGCACATAGGTTTGCTGACCATGTCACAGATATGGGTGTAGTAGCTGAATTTTGATACAAAAATTAGAGTAGCATTGTTAGACTAGTTACACAGAAGAGCGCAGTCCCAGGCTCTTCGAAGAACATCCGACAAAGTAATATAATGAGTACTAATCAGGTGACACGTCTAAAAAAACCCCTTTGAGCTACAGTGATCCATAACGTGAAGTAGCACCATTCGACATACTGCAACCCAATAGTTGAAAGGTGTTGGTGATACGTGAATATCCAACTCTTCACTGCCCATTCAAACAAAAACCGCTTTCCCAAGATTTGCTCACTCCTACATTCCCTGATCTTATCAGGGTCTAATAACCTTATTTCCACCACCATGGCACGCTCCCCAGTACACAGGCCTGTGCAGCCGCAAACATGGATCCCCGACTCACAGCCATGCTTATAGATGACGAACGCAGGAGAGAACACGCGTAGCGACAAATGCAACTCGCAGCTATGATGCGTATCCAAGCATCACTGAATGCGCAAGCCCAACAACAGCAACGAATACTAGCCCACACCCAACACCAGCAGATCGCAGCGCAAATCCACACCACTACCTTGACCTGGCCGTCCCGAGGACCCACGTCGCCACTTCATGCATCAGCATATCAGGCTCTGGGCGTCATTACGCCATCCCCAAATGCGCAAACAAGACCAGCGTATAATCCGTTTCGCAGCGGGCCGATAGGCAGTGACGGTAGTAGTTTCGTTTCAAGTTGCGACCTTGGCGACAGCGACTCGAGGCCAAGCGTTCCGCGATCTGGACCAGCGCCGCCAAGCGCGTCGGAGATTGATAAAGTACGCGGACATGGCGGAGCAGTCGTGTATTATTATTCCATTAGAGTCTATCTGCAGTCAGTGACTATGTAAGACTTTGGCCAGAAGCCGTTCTAGGTACAATTTGTTTAAAGTGAGAGTGTTCTCTGTATAGTACTGCTATTGTGCTG